TCCAGGCCAGCGGTCACTCTTTCAGGGATGAAGATGTTCACATCCTGGACAGAGAGGAACAATGGTTTGAGAGAGGAGTAAAGGAGGCCATCTTTGTGAAAAGAAATCGTCCATCATTAAACAGGGGTGGAGGCCTCCGGGTTCAACTGTCCCCCTCTTACAATGCTGTTATTGCTAGTATCACTCAACCCCCTGTGAATAGTAAACAGCCATCAGGTGCTAATGATCCATCATTAGGCTGATGGTTCTTCTTGACCATGTGAGCAGCTGGTTTTGGTTGTCAGTAGCAAAACTGGTTGATCCACTCTGAGAAGGTGCTATTTAAGAGAACGAGCTGAATACAACACCTCAGACTGAAGAAGTCTTTCGGATGGAAGATGAAATGTTTCTACATTTATTTATTTTTTGCTTTGTTTTGTTTTTTAAATGTCCAGAGGACTAGATTTAACTTTTTTTAGATTTCTATAAGAACATTATCAAATATTTTACCTGTACAGTAAGATCGCTCCACCCATGAGGAAATGTACCCAGGGTGAGCTAAGCTTGGACAAACAAACAAACATGGCTGTAATGTGGAGGTAGTGAAGCTCACGGTGTTACCTGAGACATTTAGTGAGACATTTAATTCTTAACGACCAACACTAAGGCAAGAAGACAGAAAAACAACCTAAGCTGCAAATAACTTAAAATTGTTACTGCAGTGGATGTTTTCATGCTGAAGAGCGACACAGGGCAAGAACTCAGTGAAATTCATTATGTAAGAATACATTTTACATTACCCAACCTATTAAACTTCTTCTTTTTCTTTCAGCTTTTCCCTTTTCAGGGGATCACCACAGCGAGTCATCCTCCTCCATCTCACTCTGTCCTCTGTATCCTCTGCATCCTCTGTCCTCACTCCAACTACCTCCATGTCCTCTTTCTAACTGCATAATATCTCCTCTTTGGCCTTCCTCTTCGTCTGTTTCCTGGCAGCTGCATTTCTCCTTCTACCATCTCCTTCATCCTTATACCATTATACCCACTGTCCCTCCTCTGTACATTTCCAAACCACTGTCCCTCATCTGTACATGTCCAAACCACTGTCCCTCCTCTGTACATGTCCAAACCACTGTCCCTCCTCTGGACATGTTCAAACCATCTCAGTCTGGCCTCTCTAACTTTATCTCCCAGTTGTTCAACCTGTGTTGGACCTCTGATGATTTTATTCCTAACCTTATCCATCCATGTCACTTCTTCTCAACATCTTCATTTCTGCTACTTCCAGTCCTTTTTCCTGTCTTTTTGTCATTGCCACTGTCTCCAGACCACACAACATAGCTGGTCTCACCACTGTTTGTAAACTTTTCCTTTGACCAACCAGATTTACACTGAGCACTACTGTTTGCTAACATTTAGCATAATAAAAATGGCTAAGTCATGGAATTAGCTTACGTACTGCCTTTGATTGATGTCGTACAATCGCAAACTTCCATGATATATCCACAATGCCAAATATTATTCCTTGGTATGCTATAAAATATGCAGTAACAAAGCTTGGAAAAGCGCAAGAAGTCACGGTTGCTTGTAGCTACATTGCTGGAGAAGCGAGTCCGATTATTGGTCAAACCTCAGATTCAGGAGGAACAATGCAGGTTCTGTCCTTGCTGTGGAACACCGGATCAACTCTTTACCCTCAGTAAGGTCCTTGAGGGGTCATGGGAATTTGCACATCCAAGCTACATGTGTTTTGTGGACTTGGAGAAGGCTTTCAACCTTGTTCCTCAAGGTACATTGTGGAGGGTTCTCCTTGAGTATGGGATTGGGGGCCCATTTCTGTAGGCTGTTCAGTCCCTATACAAGCGGTGCAAGAGTTTGGTTTACATTGCCTGTAATAAGTCAGTCATATCCCTTCAGGGTGGGAGTTGGTCTCTGCCAGGGTTGCTTGTTGACATAGATTCTGTTCATAACTTTTATGGATAAAATTTCTCGGTTTAACCATAGGGCAGGGAGATTGCAGTTCAATGGCCTCAGGATTCAACATCTGCTCTTTGCAGATGATGTGGTCATGTTTGCATAATCATGTAGTGATCTCCAGCTCTCAGTGGAGTGGTTCACAGTCAAGTGAAGTCAAGTCAATTTTGTATATTGCTTTGTGTGTTGCCTATTTTTCTGTCTGTACAGCACTTTGGTTGGCCTTGTCGCTGTTTTAAGTGCTCTATAAATAAAATGGTATGGTATGGTAAGTGTAAAGCAGCTGGGATCGGAGGATAACCTCTGCTCCTCCACATTAAGAGGAGCCAGTTGAGGTTTATTCGGGCATCTGGTAAGGATGCATCCTAGACGCTTCCCTAGGAAGGTGCTTCAGGCATGTCTGACTGGGAGGAGACCCCGGAGAAGACCCAGGACATGCTGGAAAGACTATGTTTCTCGGTTGGCCTGGGAACGCCTTGGGGTCCACCCAGAAGAGCTGGAAGATGGTTGGCCTGGGAATGCCTTGGGGTCCTCCCAGAAGAGCTGGAAGAGTTGGCTGTGGAAAGAAATATCTGGGTCTCCATGCTCAAGCTGCTGCCCCCGCGACCCGACCTCGGAACAAGCGGAAGATAATGGATGGATGGATGGATGTATAGATGAGATAAATAGAAAATTGTGACTGTCAGAGGCATGCAGTGGCTTCATAGAACTTACTTAAAGATGTAGACCTACAGAAAAAACATATATTGTAACTGTCTTTTGACAGTTACCAGAGACAAATTATTTTTTATCTTACTTCAGAGGATACTATAAACATTTGAAATGCATTTACATTTGCTTATATTGGAAGTCAGTTTCTCTATATGTCATTTCTTGAAAAACAGACTTTCTGATACTATGCATTATCAGACGTTTCAGATCTGAATAAAATAGTGTGTAATCATCAAGTCATGTATAGAGATCACACACAGTAATTTTCATTCCAATTGACCTAAGGGGGTGGCACAATGGCTCAGTTGGTAGAGCTGTCAGTTCAGTTCAGTTTATTTATATAGCATCAAATCACAACAGAAGTCATCTCAGGATACTCTACAGAAACAGTCACATACATATAAAAGTCAGATAATGTGTTTTTTTATCTAAGGAGCCAACAGATTGCTTTGAGTTTGCACTTCATCACAATCGCCCATCCTAAGCAAACACAGAGACAATAGTGGAAACTCTCAGCAAGAAAGTTGCAAGACTGAATCCCGCCCAGGGACTTTTCTGAGTGGAGTTTGCCTGTACTCTCATGCATGTTTGTGTTTTCTCAGAGTACTCCAGTTTCCTCCCACAGACCAAAAACATGCATCTTAGGCTAACTGGTAGGTCTAAATTATCTCCATGTGTGAGTAAGAGAGTGAATTATTGTTTGTCTCATTTGTCTTTGTGATGGACTAAAGACCTGTCCAGGGTGGTGTCCCCTGCCTCTCACTCATGTATGGCTGAACATGGGCAAAAGCGAACCCCACAACCCAGAAAGGAAGAAGAGGGTAAAGATAATAGATGGATGGATGGATAGACTTACCTAAGGGAGTGCTAGCAGGGGTAATATGAAGTAGTGTACTAGTAGTAGAAGTAGCAAAAATATGGTGAGATGCAAAAATCCAGATTTTGGTGTGGCATATTGACTTGCATTGCCTGCGATATTCTCAGGGCCAATGCAGCCTTCTGGAAGCATGACCAGGTGCTCTAGTGCGTGTAGGAGAATGTGAATCTACTTTAGAGGGGACAGGAATGTGGAGAGACAAGCCGGTGGTCGCCTCAGCTGCACATACTGTTATGTACAGGAATGCAGTTTTAAACACGAGAGCTAGAGAACAAACCAAGACAATACTTTACTACTACGTTACTTTAATGACAAAAAATAAATCACTGACAAGTAAAGCTGTCATTCCTAACCCGAACCCCGTCCCGGACCGACCCGGATTAGGGCTGGGCCATTATAATGTGATTAATGGGGGTCCGGGCCCGTTTTGGGCCGGTATCTGGCTGGTATCAGGCTGGATTCAGGATTTTAATTAGATCAGGATCAGCCACGATCCAATTATATGATAACATGGACTACCATACTTCCACCAGCCGAACGCAGCCATTTCACTGTGAGCTGACTGGCCTTGAAAGAGGTAAAAAGTTCAGTTAAGCTTCAGATGGGACTAGACTGCCAGGAAGTGATCCATCGCCCAAATGGACGTTCATTCTGCCGCTGCACTCAGCGGATGCGCACGACCGATGACCTAAACAGGTGAGATCCCAAAGCAGATGCGTGTGTCAGAGTTGTCCGGGTGTCTCAGTAATTCAGAAGAATGCAGGGAACAGGGTTTAAATGCTTTTTTACGGCCATGAAAGCAAAAACACCTCTCACCTCAGAATCTTATGCCGCTTTTATTCAGCTGCGCATCCCTGACGACAGGTGTATCTCAAAACAGACGCGTGTCAGAGCTGTCCACGTGTCTCAGTAATTCAGAAGAATTCAGACAGAAACAGGGCTTAAATGCTTTTTTATGGCCATGAAAGTACAAACACCTCTCAGCTCCAAATCTTATGCCGTTTTTATTCAGCCGCGCATCCCCGACTGTTAATAACTAATTAAAAATGTCAGAGTTTTTTCTGGGTTCAGACCTGTAATTACTGTTAATTTGTCTGGTCGGTTGGGGTTCGGAAATTATGACTGCGGGCTGGGGCCAGGTCGGATCAGATTTTTTTGGGCCCGAATGCAACTCTACTGACAAGGACGCAAATATTTATGAAAGAAAACTTGAAACCAAGGAACACAAAAGGAACACATGATAAAACAAACAGTAAAACAGACAGGCAGGAGGATTACGCGATTGCATTTGTTCAGTAACTTGCCTTTTAAAAAGATAATAATCAATCCACATTTTCCATATTATTTACTTTTCACTGCAGCCTCTGTTCATTTTATGCTATTTAATAGTAAACTAGTTATGTCTGTTAAACTATCATTGAAAAATCTGTATGTGCCCTTGTTCCCATCTCTTGCACAGATGGAATGAACTGTATGAACAAGGATCATGGCTGTGCCCACATCTGCAGAGAGGCTCCAGGCAAAGGTGGGGTGTCATGCGAGTGCCGACCTGGCTTTGAGTTGGACACAAACCAGAGAGACTGTACATGTATGTATCCTATGGATTTCTATACCAACTCATTGTAGTACAACACATATGCAAATATGCTTCAGAGTCAACCTTAAGTAAAAATTGTTCATGTTGGTTCATATTAAAGTAAAGTGCAAAATTGGCAAAAATAGTTCTCTGCTTTTAACCCATCACATGTGAGATGCACCCAGGTGGAGCAGTGGGTAGCTATGTAAGCACCTGGGGAGCAATTGGAGATTGGGTGTCTTGCTCAGGACACAAGACAAGTCAAGATGGCGCCATGTACGGTTGCCCTGGCATTCTGGTGCGCTCTGTTTTTTCTGTTTTTGTGCGTTAATCATGTGTCTGCGTGCTCCTACACTCGCGAGGAGCTACTAAACTTCAGAATCACAACCGATGAGGACATTACTCCAGTTTTTTTAGTGCCTGCTGCAGAACTTGTGCACTTTTTGGCCAAAAGAGCGAGACTTCGCAGGAGGGGCAGAAGAGCCGGAGCGCTCGTGCATCTCCGGAGGCGCGGTACACGCACGCCTTTACCTGGGATATTCCTCTCCAACGTTCGTTCCCTCTACAACAAAATGGACGAGATAGCCTGCTGATGAGAAGGAACAGCGATTTTTCCTCCTCTTGTGTGCTGTGCTTCACAGAGACATTGCTCAATGAGCAGACCCCGGACTCGGCGCTCCATCTCGAGGGTTTCCAGCTCTTCCGCGCTGACAGACAGCAGGAACTTTCCGGAGGAAAGACAAAAGGCGGAGGAGTCTCTTTTTTTTATCAACAACGCCTTGTGCTCCGACGTGACAGTGATCTCCCAGCACTGCTCTCCTTCTCTGGAATATCTATTCATAAACTGCAAACTGTTTTACTCTCCACGTGAGTTCACTTCATTCATTCTGGCTGCTGTTTACATCCCACCGTGCGCGGACGTGCACGAGGCTGAGCGCGCGTTCGCGGACAAGATTACTAGTGTAGAGCAGACTTTTCTGGACTCCCTTGTTATTATCCTGGGAGATTTTAACAAAGCAAACCTCAGGCATGAACTATATATAAACAGTTTATTAAATGCCCGACCAGAGAAGGAAACACGCTGGATCACTGTTACACCACAGTGAGCAGTGCTTATTGTGCTATGCCTCATGCTGCCCTGGGTCTCTCAGATCACGAGACGATTCACCTCATACCTGCATACAGACAGAGACTGAAGCTCTCAAAACCTCTGGTGAGGACATCCAAAAAGTGGACCAGTGAAGCTGTGGAGGAGCTACGCACGTGTTTGGACACCACAAACTGGGACCTGTTCAGGGCTTCTACAGACAGTCTAGACGAATACACAACACTGTGACATCATATATACATTTCTGTGAGGACAGCATCATCCCATCATGCTCCAGAGTCATTTTCAATAATAATAAACCCTGGTTCACATCCAAACTAAGACAGCTTTGTCAGCAGAAGGAGGCTGCTTTCAGAGAGGGGGACAGAGACAACTATAGACGTGCGAAGTATGGATTTAGCAGGGAGGTGTCGAAGGCTAAATCCAGGTACAACACACGGCTGGAACAACAGTTCTCTGCAAATGACTGCCTCTGTCTGGAGGGGGCTGAAAGAGATAACTAACTACAAGCCCAGAGCACCTCATTCTACAGACGATCTCAAACTGGCAAACGATCTGAACGACTTCTATTCACGCTTTGAAGTCATGGACTCACATTCCTCCATCCTCCACACCAACCCCAGCCCAACTGGTTTAACAACTTCGGACTGCCCTCGACAACCCCCTGCTATCTCTGTACAAGAGGATGAAGTAAGGAGGCTTTTCAAAAGGCTGAATACACATAAGGCTGCAGGCCCAGACCTTGTGTCACCCTCCACGCTGAGACATTGTGCTGGAGAGTTGGCTTCAGTCTTCACAGGGATCTTCAACTCTTCTCTGGAGTCATGCCATGTCCCAGCCTGTTTCAAGTCCTCCATCATCGTCCCTGTCCCCAAGAAGCCATGTGTCACATGACCAAATGACTACAGACCTGTAGCTCTCACGTCTGTAGTCATGAAAACCTTTGAACGCTTGGTTTCATCTCACCTCAAGTCAATCACCAACCCCCACCTGGACCCCCTGCAGTTTGCCTACAGGGCCAACAGGTCTGTAGATGACGCAATAAACCTGGCTCTTCACTTCATCCTGCAGCACCTGGACTCCCCAGGAATCTACGCCAGGATCCTGTTTGTGGACTTCAGCTCCGCATTTAACACCATCCTCCCTGCTCTGCTCCAAGACAAGCTCTCCCTGCTCCATGTACCTGACTCCACCTTCAGGTGGATCACAGACTTCCTGACAGACCGGAGTCAGTGCGTGCGGCTGCGGAGAGCTGTCTCGGACACTCGGACTGTAAGCACAGGATCTCCACAGGGCTGTGTGCTTTCCCCCCTGCTTTTCGCCCTGTACACCAACTGCTGCACCTCCAGCCATGACTCTGTGAAACTTATTAAGTTTGAAGATGACACCACCCTCATCGGGCTCATCTCGGATAGTGATGAGTCTGCATACAGGAGGGAGGTGGACCGGCTGGTGACCTGGTACAGCAGCAACAACCTGGAACTCAATGCCTGGAAGACAGTGGAGATGATTGTGGATTTCGGGACAGCCACAGCCCCTCTGTCCCCTCTCACCTGTAATGATACCCCCATCACCACTGCAAACTCTTATCGGTTCCTCGGCACCACCATCACCCAGGACCTCAAGTGGGAGCCGACCATCAGCTCCCTCATCAAGAAGGCCCAGCAGAGACTGTACTTCCTGCGACAGCTGAAGAAGGCCAAGCTGATGGTGCAGTTCTACACGGCCATCATCGAGTCCATCCTCAGCTCCTCCATCACGGTGTGGTATGCCGGGGCCACTGCCAGGGACAGACTGAGACTGCAGCGCATTGTGCGCTCAGCTGAGAAGGTGATCATCTGCAGCCTTCCATCCCTCCACGACCTGTACATCTCCAGGACTGTGGGGTGAGCAGGTCGGATCACAGCTGACCCTGCTCACCCTGCACACGGTCTGTTCGAACCACTCCCCTCAGGCAGGAGGCTTCGGTCCATTCGGACCAGAACCTCCCACCATAAGAACAGTTTCTTCCCCTCTGCTGTTGGACTCCTGAACACTCATAATGCTACCTCATAATTTCTGCTTTGGTCACATTACATCTGTATTATAACTGAATACTCCATCTGTACTGTTTTCTAAGCTTTTTTTATTGTTTTCTATTGTATGGGTGTACACATGTTTTATGTTATGTTTTTATTTTTACTTTATTTGTGGGTGTACACAGGTCTTATGTCTTATGTAATGTTTTCATTTTTACTTTATTTTACTTTGTTACTATTCGCACCTTATGTCGAAGCAAATTCCTAGTTTGTGAACCTCGTTCATTGACATGGCAATAATAAACTGATTCTGATTCTGATCACTCAGGACACCACAACATGTGGGCACGACTGGGAGTTGAACCGCAATTTTCTGGTCCCAGGCTGGCTGCCCTACCTCTACACCATCTTGGCCCCTTCATATCATGCACAGCTCTAAAATCAAATGTTGCTTTTTTTATAAACAATATGAAGATGACTCTTTTTTTCTCTCTGATTCATGAGCAGTACTATTTTATTAGTTGCAAGCTTTCCCTTTTTGCTTAGCCATAAATCCAAGAAGCCCCACTCCCAATTTTAGAAAAACAAAGGTTGTCCATACCGTCCATGCTGGGAAGATGGTGCCGCTGTACATGGCCTGCCCTCCACCTCTGTCTGCAGTGATTGTGTTCTTTCTGTTTTTGTCATTTTTCACCTACAACATCGACTCACTACTGGTTTATGAACGTCATCAACTCCTAAATCTCCAACTATCTGCCACCAGTCTCGCTTTGTTTGATCATAATGATCATAAATCTGGACCCCCTCTTGGACCCCCACCTCTGCTTGAAGACGTTCCTGTTTACCTCCGCTGTGGTATCCTGCCCGCTCGAAGACATCGCTCCAGGCGCCGTGGAAAATGGGCCGGCCATCTTGTGAGGATCAAAGCCTGGCGGGCCGCTGCTGCAGCTTCCTCTTCAACTGAGGACCACATTTTAAATCACCTGTCCTGGCGCTGCTCTGATCCACCTGAGTCCTTCCTGGTCCCATGGGTCGGGTCGCACTTCCACAGTGGACCTGTTTGCCACGGCTGGGCTTCCGATCGTTGGAGTCGCAGGTGACTCCACAAATCTGAGACCACTGGTCTTAACTTCATGGACAACTTCTTCTGTGATTCCAACAAGGATTGCCCTAATAAACGCCAGGTCTCTGGCTAATAAAACGTTCATCTTGAATGACTTTTTCTCCTCCACCGGTCTGGACTTCTTCTGCGTGACTGAGACGTGGCTCTCCTGTGGTGAGTTCATGGCCCTGCCGGAACTTTTTACCACCAGACTGTTCTTATTTTAATGCTCCGAGAATATCAGGCAAAGGTGGTGGATTATTGACTATTTTCAAAAAATGTTGGAACTGCAAACTCGTACAAATACCAGCTAATTTTTTGAGCTTCGAATTGCTGTGTTTTGAGGTGAGCCGTTCAAATCTTAATTTTTCTGCTGTGTTATACAGGCCACCCAAATATAATAAGGACTTTGTGGCTGAACTCTCTGACTTTTTAACCTGGATTCTGCTCAGATATGATCTGGTTTTAATTCTGGGAGATTTCAATATACATGTCTGTTGCCCTGAAAAGCTGCTGACTCAGGACTTTCTAGATCTGATCCAGTCTCTGAACTTTGTACAGAATGTTGCAGGACCAACTCACCAGCATGGCCACACACTGGATTTAGTGGTAACCTATGGTTTATCTGTTTCTGAGTTAGAAATTGGGGATGCGCTTTTTTCCGACCACAAAGGCATTTCTTTCAACACTTCTTTTGTCAACGCGTCCAAACCACCTCCCCCTCCAGCCAGGCCTTGTCGAATATTTAACCCTTCCACTGCTGCGCTCTCTCTCAGTCTGTGAATCCTCTTCCATCAACACCCATGAGCTAGTCACTGTACATCAAGAGGCCTGTGCTAAGGTGCTTGACCTAGTTGCTACATTAAATATTAGGCATCCAAAGCGCACTTCACACCCTTGGATGAATGAGATCACTCGCGCAGCCAAACGTCAATGCAGGAAAGCTGAACGTAAATGGAAGAAGGACAAACTTCACGTTTCTTTTATCATGCTAAAATCATGTTACAAAGAGAACCAGGCCACTGTCAAATCAGAAAAAAACAAATATTTTTCCCAAATCATCGCCTCAAACAGCCACAATCCCCGCGTTCTTTTCAACACCATTAACTCCATTTTAACCGTGCCTCAGTCTGCCAACAGGGAGGTCTCTGCAGTTACGTGTGACAACTTTGCCAGTTTTTTTGTGAAAAAGGTTGAGTCGATCAGGTCACTATTTCCTCACACCACAGCTGACCCCTCTGTATTTGTCTCCTCCACATCAGTCTTTAACCAGTTTGTACCCATTTCCCTCTCATTTCTAAATGACGTCATTGGTCAAGAGAAACCCCCTGGTTCCCCTGCTGACCTCATCCCTGCATCGTTTTTTAAACAAGTCCTAAAATCCATTGGACCCTCTGTTTTTGACATTATAAACAGCAGTATGGCTACAGGTGTAGTTCCTGATGCTTTTAAACATGCAGTGGTAACTCCTTTAATAAAAAAAAAACCCGGACTTGACCCTTTAACCTGCTCAAACTTCAGACTCATCTCCAAACTTCCCTTTCTCTCTAAGATCCTGGAGAAAACAGTTTTCACTCAATTAAACGAGTTCTTGAGGGGAAATTCTAGTCTTGAGATCTTTCAGTCTTGCTTTAAGAAACTACACAGCACTGAAACAGCCTTAGTTAGGGTCTGCAACGACATTCTTCTGGCAAATGACTGGTCAGTCTGTAATCCTGGAACTCCTTGACCTTACTGCTGCATTTGATACTGTGGACCACAGTATCCTTTTATCCCGGCTAGAACACTGGGTTGGGATTACTGGTGCAGCGTTAAAATGGTTCCATTCATACCTGAGCGACAGGAGTTTCTGTGTTAATTTTGCTAACACTATCTACTTCAGTGCCTCTTTCCTGTGGGGCCGCAAGGCTTCATTCTTGGACCCCTTCTGTTTTCATTGTATCTACTCTCCTTAGGGTCTATTCTGAGGAAACACGGTCTTTTCTTTCATTGTTATGCTGATGACTCTCAGATTTATTTACCGTTAACACCTAACAGTTCTTCCTGCATTCGCCCTTTGTTAAAATGTCTTGATGACATCAAGACTTGGATGACTGCGAACTTTTTGAGTTTTAATGATCAGAAGATTGTGTTTAACCCTAGCTCTGCCACTGTCACTGATCCTGCAAACCTGGATTCCTTTCAGCCATATCTAAAACAGTCTGTTACCAATCTCGGGATAGATTTAGACTCGAACTTTAGGTTTAATAAGCAAATCTACGAGTTCTCCTAATTTCAGCTGCGTGCAATTCTTTTTATCTTTAGCGTAAATAAAGAAATGTTGATTGCTAATGCAGCTAAATTTTAAGAAGAAAACAAAACACACACAAACATGTTTTTTTTTTTTCAAAAACTGTACAGCAAATGAGTAAGACTTAAATTTATCTTGTCTTTAGTGACATGTAACTATGGAAACGGTGGCTGCCAACACACATGTGATGACACAGACACGGGGCCGGTATGTGGCTGCCACCAAAAGTACGCCCTGCACTCAGACAGCAGGACCTGCATTGGTAAGTGACAACTTTCACATATCTTCCTGAAGAAAGCAACAGAAGTAACACAGCATTTTAACAGAGCTAAAGTTGGAGGTGGTGAGTTGGCAGATAGGTTAGGATCTCACTTCCCAGAAGTCCTCACCTTGCCCAGGCCTGATAAGATTTAAATGTTAAACTCAGAACAGGCAGAGAGTTTGAGAATTTGAATAGGTTTCTAAAATGTTTCTTGTTAAACACACTGTGTAACTTTATTTTGTATTAACATTGTACAGTAAAAAACTCACAAAATATTAGGGATGGGGCTGATCCGATCCAGTATCGGTATCGGCCTCCGATACCAGCATAATTTACGTATCAGATTTTCCGATCCACCTGCCGATATTTCCGATCCATGATGAATGTTGGCTTCAAACTATGGAATGGATTTCCTGAACGGCAGCTTGTCTCATGAACCCAGAGTAATAAGACCCGCCTCACCTTCAGGAAATCCATTTCATAGTTTGCAGCCAGCTACAACGTGAGGACTGAGTTAGCAGCACTATGGCTAACAGCTAACAAACTTTTCATCTGAACATGTCCGCTGTGTGGAAGTATTTTATACTAAACACCACAAAACAAGACAGCATCGTGCAATGTCTGCAGAGACATAGTGCCACATTAAACTGCAGTAAAGTTAGTTTTACGATGGACATTCGAGCTCCGTGGCTTCAGTGGGGCGCTGCTATTTGTTCAACCGAAAGAGGCAACTCGACCCCGGCCAGCCGCATACAATCTGTCCCGCTCAGTCTGCCCATCTCCAATGAGGGACAGACTGAGCGCGGCTGCCCCTAATCAGGCTGCTTGCTTCAGATTGAACAAGAAGTAGATGTCGCTGAAGCCACGGAGCTCAAATGTTTACCGAGAAGTTGCTAAACTTCATCATAATTAATGACCAACCACTATCAGTTGTATTCACAGCTTGATACTTGCAGTCAAGATATAGTTTACCCTTCAGGAGATATTTATCAGTACAACAGTAGACAATCATAAAAAACATCCATCCATCCATTTTCTTTACCCGTTTATTCCTTTTTGGGTCACGGGGGTCGCTGGTGCCCATGTCCAACAATCACTGTGCGAGGGGCGGGGTACACCCTGGACAGGTCGCAAGTCCATCACAGGGCCACATAGAGACAAACGAGACAAACAACCATTCACTCTCTCACTCACACCTAGGGACAATTTAGAGTTACCAATCAGCCTAACATGCATGTTTTTGGTCTGTGGGAGGAAACCGGAGTACCCGGAGAAAACCCACGCATGCACGGAGAGAACATGCAAACTCCACCCAGAAAGGCCCCCGGACCGGGATTTGAACCAGGGACCTGCTCGCTGAGAGGCAGCAGCTCTACCAGTTGCGCCACCGTGCTGCCTCATAAAAAACATATGATTTGAAAATTATATATATTAAAAACATAAACAGCTACATTATAAAGTGATGTAAAATACGAAAAACAGGAATATGTCTGTTGGTTTATGCCATGAACTTAGCAGGTGTTTGAAGCCATTTAACATTTTATTTAATTTAATTAATTCATTCATTCATTTAAATTAAACAATTTTTTTTTTTTAAAAATCATGAAAAAGAAAACATTGAATGAAAAGAGTGCAGAAAGAAGAAAAAATTCTTATATCTGCCCCTTATAAAATATAAAACAACTTTAAACAATCACTTAAAATAATCACTTTAATATCCACTTTAAAACTAGGAATAAAAAGAAACATGCTTTGTGTTAGCATAATTTAATTCTAACTTTAAAACTTATCCAACATTAATAAAACTTACCTCAAGTTGCCTTTTTGGACATGCATGCATATATTTGTACAAATTGTACTTGAGAGGAGATTATTACAGCCTCATATAAAATCAATGATGATCATGATATCGGAACTGGATCGGTATCGGCCGATACTCAGATCTAGGTATCGGGATCGGAAGTAAAAAACTGGATCGGTGCATCCCTAATAAATATTTGAGCCACAATCATCAGTCTCATCCGCATTCTGGCTCTCATATAAAGTATATTCTTGTTCCAATCAGTAGAAAAGAATAAGACATTCCAGGTAAACAATGATGTCCTCATCATATTCACCACCTGACAGTAACTGCTGCATGCATTCAAGCCTAAAGTGGCTAAAAATATAGATCCAGTTAAATAACCAAAGTAGTAATCATATATGTCTTATGTTCAAATTAAACAGTTGTATGCAGAAATTAACCAAATCAGGAGAAGCTTTTGAAGTGAGATATTGGTATTTTTCCTCACACAAAAGACTGTTTCAGCATCACTCTGATCAGTGTTTCCCCTACCATTATACACGCAGGGTGCCCTGCCATAGAACTGAGCACCCTCCCTACCGAACTGACCTCCCCCCACCCCCCTAGCATGAAGCCCCCCCCCCCCCCCAAAAAAAACATCTGTTGGTACAAATGGCGTGCAACACAGACGTGTCTCAGTCACCACTGACAACCCCCCAGCTGCCAACTGCCTGTAGTAGGGCTAAGCTAGCAGTGCGCAATACAGATGTGCTAGCTAAACAGCTCGTAGACAAAAATCACTGAAGAGCTGTGTGCCCTGCCAAGGCAAGTAATGTAGGGGAAACACTGGTGATGTTGAACGCATTGATAACTATGGATATTTATTTAAACCTTTATTTTACCAGGAAAGAAATCCATTGAGATTATTAATCACTTTCACAATGATACCCTGGCCAAAGTAATGTAATTAATCATCAGTTTGACAGTTAACAGTTTAAAAACGTGTTCAGGTGTTCTGGAGTGAGCTGGAGGCAGATACATCAACAAAAGGTGAACTGGTATAGTGGGTTGTAAAAGTCTTGACCCCTTTATCATACACCCTACAGTCTGACACTGAAGTCAGTTTACAGTTTGATTACAAGTAACGAACGAGGCGCAGATTCTGGTTTTGTGGGCTGAGACTAATTTTAGATTCTTCTACAGCTCAGACCTGCAATTTTTTTTCTTAAAGTGGGATTTTTCCTTTAAGAACTACAATGAACAGAATACAGTATTAAAAGTTGATTTTTTTTAAATATTGTTTTTAATATCTGACTTTTTAACTGTTACAGAGCCAAGAGGGGGAATTGAAAATATCCTCTGTCCATCTGCCCATCCGTGCATGTTGTGAATCAGAATCAGAATCAGAATAAACTTTATTGGCATTGCACCGAGATACAACGCGAATACGTACATACAGTTGTCCGAAAGATGGGCGAAGTGCACGAAGCTGCAACTATAAATAGCCCGGGCTTCTTATTCTTATTCAGAATAATCTTTTGGTTAGATGAGAAAAGGGAAGAAAACATGAGGAGAGATGGTATAAAAAAAAGATCTCTCACTCCGTGTCCTAGACAGGGCACGATTTGAGGCATCAAATAAAACCTACCACAGCAAAGCAACATAAATAGATGTTCTAAAAAAGTTAAATCTGGTCCTCTGGACATTCAAAAAAACAAAACAAAGCAAAACAACAAAAAAATGTAGAAACGTTTCGTCTCTCATCCTAGAGACTTCCTCAGTCTGAGGTGCTGTATTCAGCTCAGTCTCTTAAATAGCACCCTCTCAGAGTGGATCAACCAGTTTTGCTGCTGACAACCAAAGCCAGCTGATCACATGCTCAAGAAGGACCATCAGCCTAACAATGGATCATTGGAGCTAAATGGAGCTATTTAAGAGACTGAGCTGAATACAGCACCTCAGACTGAGGAAGTCTCTCGGATGAGAGACGTAACGTTTCTACATTTTTTTGTTGTTTTGCTTTGTTTTGTTTTTTTGAATGTCCAGAGGACCAGATTTAACTTTTTTAGATTTTTCTACCTGGATTATTGAGCATGCATCAGGATAAATAGATGTTATACATGTACATATAGGCCGGTGAAAACATTGATTTTTTAAGGGAAAGTCGTAGCATAGTCCAGAGCCCCCCCTCAGCCATTGTCCAGATAAGAGGTGACGTTCATCTTCAGCTCAGTTGAGGTTCTGTTACATGTCCACGGCCTTGGGGGAGGGAGGGGTGAGGAAACATTCAAAGCATCTTTGTTGTTTTCAAAACATTCCAGGAGGAGTTGAGTTAAGTCTGGCGTCAAGGCCACAGTTTGGGTCAGGCAGAACTCGTGAATTGTTTTTTTCTGCCTTTTTAAAGTCTCGCTGGTACATATTCTCTGATGGAACTCCAAAACAGCCAAATTGATCCTTTACGCCAAAAGTCAAGGTCACAGCTTCTCCAGATTATTCCCAACATTCATGAGTGCTGCTAGAGTTCACAGTCCTGATAACAGCTGCTCCAGCTCCCTGCTGCAGCTCTCCAAATTCAGTCTGAGTGCTGTTGAGCTTCGACACATCCACATGAATTTGTAGACAATCCAGAATTCACCAACCAAACAGCAAAAAAAAAAAAAAACAGTTGTCATCACGAATCCAATTTGTTTCCATCGAGTAAGAGGGTCCTCCTTATGCCCTGACTCCTGTTGGGAGAAGTTGATCGATTTTGTTGAGAGACCAGCTGAACCTTTGAATTAAGAGGTATGCAGAAAAAAAGAGGCTTTTTAAGGGTTCACAGGACAAAAAAATGCAAGCAGGGCAGGGGGGGGGGGGGGGGGGGGGGGGGACCAGGGAAACATGTCTGGTTTCACCGGAGGACAGAGAGAGAGAGAGAAAAAAAAGCACGATAATTTGTAAAATATTTGAAGTACCAACTTCCATTTTGGTGTGTGGCTGCATCTAGACGAAAGTTTCTTTCAAAAATTGTGTTAGAACATCAAAATCCAAGAGGGATGCCTCCATAAACATCCGTTCGTGTTGCGAGCAGGATAACTTAAAAAATAAGCAATGTACCAAGTTTTGTTCTATTTCGTATAGGCTTCGCCCTTTAAGACTGTCGCTGATGGGTTTATCCCGCTATGCGAAGCATCACACTGAAAAAATTTACTCCACGCCCACCTGCTGTGTGGGCCCC